TTCCTATTGTTAATGATACCAGCTGGTAAGAATAACTTAGTCTTTCTTTTCCCCTGAACTATTGAAAATATCTGATTCTGTTGTTTATATTAAGATGTTTTGAAACCAAACAATACTTTTAGTAAAACAAGACTTATTATTCCATATGTATTGTGGTTATTTAGTTAATAATCTAAAAATGTTGGTTTGAGATTGCCAGGTAAGGGCCAGGTAAGGTCAGGGCCAGCTACCTAATTTGTGGAGTGCAAAATGAAAATGTGGGGCTCATTGTTCAAATAGCAGATTTTGACCCACCATGGTGTTTTTTTATCTGCTATTTAATGTCTGGCTCCTTCAGACACGGGAATATGTGTGGAGTGAGTGCAGATGCTCACAGGTGCTTTGTTTTGACCCTGATTCTGTACTGGGCATGGGCTTGACCCTACCCTTCCTGAGCTTCACTCTGGCCCCAGTCAGGGCAGGTGGTAGTGGTCACTGAATGGGACAGGGGAGCAGACAGGACAGCAGACTCCATACCCTAGAGGCAGGACCACCTGTGCAATGAGGCTCCAATCACTCAGTACTTGCTCTGTTGTCCCCTTAATTTACAAAACACAAATTGAAAGATACTGTCATTAAGAATTTCATGTCAGGGACAGGTAGCACATTAAATCCCAAGTGGTGTTCCCTTCTGCAAGTGGAGCCCTGTGATGCAGCCAGCCATGTGAGTAATAACCCTCAAAGGCAGATGAATGTCTTTACTAAGATCAAAGAGGCTTGGTGAGGATTCAGAGCTCTGCAATGACTAAGATGTTCTGCAGTTTTAGTACTTTAATATTACTGGCTTCTTGGTACTTTAATATTACTAGGCTAGAATTTACCTTTGCTTTCAAGATTTAGAGGCAGATCTGATCTGTATCTGATATGTTGACAGTGGTTTTCTGATTGGAGAGTGGTAATAGTAATAGGGTAAATCAGACTGAGAAGTTGCAGAAAGAATCAGTACTGAAGTTCGAATTCAAAATCTATTCCCCTGTTTCACAGCTCCTCACTCTGGGCTCTGGGCTGTCTTTCAAGGTAGAAATCCACGGCCCTCAGGAAGTCTTTTGCATTTTGAAAAAAACATTAAGATGTGAAAGAGAATTGAACCAGGAATCAAAGACCTATTGTTTAGTTCTAATATGCCACAAACTGGTATAATTTGGCTAAAAACTCAAGGTCTTCCTGCTACACCAAAAGCTGTGTAAACTTGTCTTGTATTCCCAGTTCCATGAACTATGGGAATCCAGTCCTTCCTCTCAATTCCTGCCCATTCCCTAAGGTCTGCTTTCTCACAGTTCCCTGTGTCCCAGAGCCTTCGTATGCATCTGCCAACTGTTTCTGCCGAAGTTAACCTGAACTTGAAAACACATGCTTTCCCCAGTACCCACTAATAATTCACGCCCAGCCAGCATGTTCTGGTCCTGTGATGAATTGGGG